CCAGCTCCAGCTCAGTGCTCCTGCTGTGCCCTTGGCCCCTGGGAAGGCCTCTCCTTTCCCCCCTGATGCTCACTTCTCAGCCACCGTCATCTGCCTCTGTCATCAGCCCACACTGAGCATCTGTGAGAGGGTGCAGCATCTTGGACCAGCACTGGAAAAAGACCACTCTCCCCAAGTCAGCATGGGTGTCCTCCTCCTCTCTCCAACAGGACCTCTTGGGTCCTTAGTGATGTGCTTCGGGGCATCTCTCCACCCTGAGGGCCATTAGACCATCCCCTGTGCTCCTTCTTGTGCCTTTTCTTCCCATTTCAGCCCATGGGGCTTTTCCAGACAAGCTCTCCAGGAGTGCAGATGCCCTCTGGTCTAGAGCCCTTGCCTTTTCTGCAGCTGCTGCAGGGATGCCCCAGGATGGAGCAACTGTCCACAGCCTGCACTAGAGCTCTAGCCTGTGCAAGACACGTTTGCAGTTTGGGCTGTGTCGGTGTTGCTCCCTGCTGCAGCTAGTGATGGCACTCACTGCTGCTCTGCAAAGCAGTGCTGAATACAAAAGGTGGAGCCCACATCTGGTGAGCCTTCCCCCCTGGTGACCTGCCCAGAGTCCATGCTAGCCTTGCTGGATATACCATCTCACTTAATCCTCATGTCTTTCCTTAGAGGCCTGGAGATGCACTCTTCACTGTACAGATTAGGAAACACTGAGCAGTTAGGGGACCTGCCAAGGTCATACAGGCAGTAAGTGGCCATGCCAGGATCTGAATTCATGTCTCATCCTGTAGTCAGTTGAATGGTGGCCCCCAAAAGTCACATCATATTGCCCAGAATCTCTAGATGTGGCCTTGTTTGGAACCAAGACCTTGAAGATGTAACTAAGGATCCCGAGGTGAGGCCTCCCTGGCTAGGATCAGCCCTCAGTTCAGAGTAGTGTTCTGAGAGGGGACGCAGGGAGACACAGAGATGGAAGATGGAGACATACATGTGATGGCAGATCTAAACCCAGGAAAGCCTAGGCTGCGGCAGTGCCCAGAAGCCAGAACAGAGGCAGGGAAGGGGTCGTTCAGAGTGTCCAAGGCAAAGGAGGAAAGCCTACAGCTGTGGTGACAGGGCTATGACTACCGGCGCTGATCATGTGACAGTGTCTGAGGTTTCCTTGATGGACCTAGAAGTGAGGGCCACAGGAGTCCTGGGCTGTGTGACTGATAGTTACTTCCCTTTTCTGGGCTCAAATGCTATGTAATAAAACATGGTTATGGTTTGTGTGTATCGGCCCCCCAAAGCCTCATGCAGCTATGGGGCCAACTTCTAGACTTTGTGATTCATTCATGATCTACTGGATTATGGGTATGAGTACTACGCCCAGCCTGGGGCAGATAGCTGAATGCAACATAAGGGAGACAGATTTGCTGTGGCCATTTTTGCCGCTTCTTCCATTTGTTCTTGCTGTTTTGCTGTTGTTCACTGCCATGACCAGCTGCCCTCTGCCATGTGCCACTGTGCCTTGGAGCCGGCAGAGTACAGACTGAAAGCTCCACCAAGCTGTGAGCTAAATAAACCTTTCCTTCCTTCATTTTGACAGTCAGGTGTTTGTCCCAGCAATGAGAGAAGAGTAACTTAGACAAACATAACTGTGTCCCTGATTCTGATGTTCTACCACCCTCAAGAAAGACCATGATCTAGACAAAGAGGGCTATGTTGGGACTTTCAAATTTATTCCAACATGCTATTTTTTTTTAAAAAATATCCTCAGGCTGAACACTCAGCCTGAGCTGTAATAAAGGCAATTATTATACTTGTAAAAACTTCATTCACAGTACAGATGTAATTTACAACAAAGATCACACACATCAATACTGAGCAAATTTTTCCTTTTGTACATTAGACGCTGTGCTTTAGACCTGCATGGATTTTTTGTTGAGTTTTTTTTTTTTCTTTTTCTTTTGCACTGATATATACCAACATTGCAAGATGCAAGTGTAGAAACTGGAGTTTAAATAAAATTACAAGCAAAACTACCATCCTAGTATGGCCACTGTACATATCTACAGTAAAATTTTTGGAATGTATTGCCATTTAAGAACATAGAAACATTCTACAGACAAGCTCACATACAGAATACATACACCTTTTAGGAAAGAAAGGCAAATATTTATCTTACAGAGAGAGTGTATCTTACATTTGCCTACATACACATTTTCATTTTCTCTGTGTCTTTTCTTTTTAACACTAGATTTAGTAAAGTGAACATAAGTGCCAATGTGGTCTAATGGGAAGCAGACTGGAATCACAACACGGAAGCAGAATTTGTGGTGTAGGCTTTCGGGAATTTTCTCCCCCTGGGCAACATGGAAGATCGGTCTCCTAGGATGGCTGCTCAGCCAGGACTTTTGCTTCAAGAAAGATTTGTCTGGAGTGAGGACTAGAGAGGAACTCAGCTCAAATATATTGCTTATTCCTGTTTCAAAGAACTAGGTGGGAATGGAGCAGTGCCTAGCGATACTTGCAGGCCAATCTGCCCTCAGTTTGCATGGACTTCTGAGTGTGGGAGGCCGGGCAGCTTGCTGCTGTCGGGACCCAAGCATGAGCTAGGAGTGGATCAGGCTGGCACAGCCCTACCCTCAGAGGGGAAGGGGGTTGCTAACTCCAGAATGACTGTGGGATAGCTCAGGCTAAAGGGCATCATGGAGGGCAGGCCAGGGGATGAGAGGCTTAGAGCCCAGCAGAAGGCAGGGCTTGGCTTGAAAGTTTGGCCTATTACTTCCACTCCCACTTGCCAATACCCTTGGAACAGAGCTAGTCTGAACCAGGGGTGGCCATGAGCACACCTCAACAGTGTGGCATGGGCGTCTGTACTAACCTGTCATCATTGCTTCCTCCTTCCTGGGGCGGAGACTATGGCCGCACAGGCAGATCACAAATTCAGAGTAGCTGGGGGCCAGCTTGGGGCTCAGGGAAGGGCACACATAGGAGAATAGTTTTCCAAATCAGGAAAGTGTGCATGTGGGCAGCAGGCCCTGTACCCTGGGGAGTGAGCCCAGAGGCTAGAGAGAGGATTAAAGCCAGACCTGATAGTCCCTTTGGGCACCTGTGTGGGATAGCAGCCCTTTGGAGCCCAGGGACTGTAGGGACTCACCTGCTGGCTGTATTGTCCATGGCAAAACTACCCAGGAAGAGGACCTTGTGAGTGGGCTGTGGGAGTGATGGACTGGAGAGCTGGGAGTACAGGGTGGGGCAGGGGCATGGCTGCCCCCAAGTTCAGTGGCATGAGGCTGGAAGACCTTGCCCAGGAAGGCTGGAAGCCCGGGGAGGGCTGAGGCAGTACTGTTTGTGCAGCTCCCAGCTCTTAGCCCTCAGAGTCTCCAACCAGAGAGCCCATAGGTTAGGGCGAGAAGGGAAGGGAAAGAAACCCTGGCTTCTGGCATGAACTGAGGCTGGGCTCCTACTCACTTCCTGCCAAGCCCCCATGGTGCCAGTATGGTGCAGGGTGTGCTGGCTGGTTTCTCCTAGTACAGGCAAGAGTCCTACACTGAGGCAAGCAGCCAGAAGCTACTGGTCAGTCCCACTACACAGTACCTGGGAGTCCAGGGGAACTCGGGGGAAGTCCTGCAACAGTGTCACCTCTTGTCTTAGCTCTGAGCAAGCAAAGGAGAACAAAGGAGGTGGTCTGACTGGAGGATGGACCTGCGGCTGATTTGTTCCTGCAGCAGGGCTCATGCAGGGACTGAATGATCTGGAGAGAGAAGGACCATCACGTACAACCTGCTCACAGAGGCGACTCAACAGCCTGGGAGCTGAGGATGGGCCCTCCTCTCACACAGCTTGGCCGGGGCCTGGGACCAAGCAGATAGGTGCCTCCTCTGTGTTCGGTGGCATCAGCACCCAGCCTGGCACTTTCTCCTCCTTTGGAGAAAGTAAATCATTCTGGAGGGTTGGGAAAAACTCATCTCTCCCAGGTGGAAATGGGAACCACAGCCGTCGGTATAGCGCCATGCTTGCTTTCCACTTAACTACATGGGGTAACCATGCTCGAGGCCCAGTTCCATATGGGGGTTTAAATCTCTGGTCACGTGATTTGTTTTTCACACAGCAGGTTTTTGCCCTAGAAAGGGGAGAGAAATTCAAATAACTTGGGACAATTCACAAATCCTTTAGGTGGAGAGAAGAGAATCTGAGGAGGCTAGCGAAAGTGCTACACACCATCCCCTTGTTCACATTTAGATAATTTGCTGTTAAAGAGATGTAAGCCAGCAAACAGGCCCAGGCATGGGTTACATGGGTTCCACCAGCCATGACTTGGGGCGTTTCATGGGGCAGTGGAAACCTGACCTTGGTGTGCAGGGACAGGAAACTCGTCTCTGGAGATGGGTCCCCCGAGCCTCCAGTGCTGAGCACTGAAGATGCACAGCCATAGAAGAAGGAAGGTGCCTTGGACCACAGGGGCTATGTTGGAGCAGGGCCCAAGGCCAGGCTCAGGAACGGCTTGAAGCAGGAGCTTGGCCTCGCACCCTGAGGGTAGCTCTGAGAATGGTGGAGAACACCAGGAGGGCCAGGGCCAGGGTGCTTTGCCCACCTGTGCAGCATGACAATGGGCCCAAAACTCAGGCTGCCTGGGCATCTGGGAGTCCTGGAGACCAGCCCCCACTTCTACTTGCTCCTATTACTTTGTGTTGAAATCCTACCAAAGTTTCTTTAAAAATTTTTTTTCTTGCAAAGAATAAAAGAAAAAGATGATTTGGGGGCCTCCCTGCCTGTGTTTGTGTTCCTCTGCCTCAGGTCACAGGCCCTTCTGCTTGCAGAGAGAAGTGGGCACTCACTGGGGTGGGCTAGAGCAGCAACAACTGGAACCATGAACATCTGTACAGAGGATTGCTCACATCTACACTTAATGGTGGTGCTTTTGTTTTCTTTCTTTCTTTCTTTCTTTCTTTCTTTCTTTCTTTCTTTCTTTCTTCTTTCTTTCTTTCTTTCTTCCTTCTTTCTTTCTTTCTTTCTTTCTTTCTTTCTTTCTTTCTTTCTTCTTTTTTTAATTTCTGATGTTCTTTTCCTTCAGTGTGTCTTCTTTTCCACAGCAAACAACTGACTGGCCTTGGGGCTGGCATAGCTGCCAACTGCCTGCCTGGTGGAGGTTAGGAGGCCCTTATTTTACAGCCTTTCCCTCAAAGCACAAACTATTCACAGCCTCAAGCTCTTCGCAGGTTTTGTTGTTATGTATGTGTGTGATTATTTCTTCTCTTTTCAAGCAACAAAAGGTATAGAAAAAGGCACAGGAACTGCATACATGGGAAGCTAGAACAGATGGGGCTGAGCAGAGCTGCACGGGCAGGTGGACAACGAGAGAGGGCCCTGGGAGCAAGGTGACTCGAGGAGGCTGGCTGGAAACGTCTGTTGCTGAACACTGGAAGCCAGATGCTGAGTCAGCTGGAGAGCAGCTAAGTGCTCACGGAGTCCCTGTCCTTGGGCTGGGGTGGAGGTGCCTGGGCTCCCCACTACCTGCGGGCTCAGGGGAGCCCTGCTTTGTCCTGGGTTCCCCTGACAGGTTCCTCCTCCGGGCTGGAAAGTGAACACAAGCCTCGGTCAGGCAGCCCATGGAGCTGCTGCGGTCCCGTGCAGGGGTGGCAGAGGCCTCAGTGTTGGCCAGTGCGTGCGAGGACTCCAGGTGGGGACTCCAGGACTGAGTGGCCTGGTGGCCATGGGGTGGCCTCGGAAAGCAGGGGCCACGTGAGGGAGCAGGCTCTGCGGGCTCCCAGTCGGGAGGTCTGCCCAGGCCTCCGCCTGTCCTTTCCCTCTCCTTGGGGTAGTCCCTGCCCTCCAGCTCCGAGGACAGCGTGAACTTGGAGACCTTAGCCACAGGGGACACAGAGGCTGATGAGCTTTCAGTGGGACTCCAGCGGCCTCGCTCCTGGGCCTCTCTGGCCCCTGTCAGGTCGCTGCCACCCCCTGAGAAGCCACTGACCCAGGCTGCACAAGGCCCTGGCAGCAGGGTAGGGTGGGCCCCAGGTCGGGCCTGCACCATCTGGATCCCACCGATGGGAATCATGGGGCACGGGCTTCGGGCCAGGTGCTGAGAGTGCAGAGGCAGGTGGCTGAAGATGTTCTCCTCCGTCCGGCCCGGGACGTGGCCGTGGAAGTCGGAAAGGGTAGAGAAGGGTCGGGAGGAGCAAGGATGCGCGGGGCCAGGTGAGCAGGACGGACTTCGGGGCTCAGCTTTCTGTAGGATGAGAAAGACAAGAAGGTGAGGGTCATGCGCACATTGAGTACTAAGGGCTGGAGGCCCCAGGGGAGGTGGGGCACTCTGCCTTGGCACTGCCCAGTGGGCCAGAATTGGCCTTTGAGGACCATGTACACTGGCCCCAAGGTCTTCATGCCTTCAGCTCCAGCCAGTGTACCTGGAGGAGGGCTTCTCAGTTAGGGAGGCCTTTGTGTCCCCTGGGCCTGGGCCTCTGTCTTGGTTCTGCTCTTCCTCATGGTCATAAAATGGCCTCAACCCATAGGATCTTGACCTTCTTCCACCACCAGGAATGTTAAGGTGACCCAAAAATTAAAAATCAAGGAAAGATTTCCCAATCAATACTACTGTAGGAGTGCCAGTGTTGGGTCATAACACAGTGACAGAAAAGGTGCTGGAAGTGGAAGATGGCAAGGATGGCACTGTCAGCGGTGGGGTTGTGGCAGCCATGGTGACAGCACGTGCAGAGATAGCATGACAACAGCATAGGGCTGTGTGGGTGATGGGACAACAGCATTAAGCTGACAGGTGGCAGTAGGAGGGCGCTTGGTGTACTGATGATGGAGGGCTGCTGGCCATGGGACCCATGCTCAGGGTTGGAGGGATGGTGCTGGCCATGGTGTGCCTGAAAGAGTTGTGACAGTGATGTTGGGAACATGGATTTTGGTTAAGCTGTTGCATTTGCTCAAAGAACATAAGGGGAACAGGGATGGGATAGGTGGGTGATTGCTTAAGTATTTATGCCCACATCCAACATCACACAGCCCATTAGTGGTAGAAACTGAATCCAGAAGCCTACTGCTTCTGAGTTACAAAATGGGCAATAAACCAACTGGCGTAAGGTGTCCAAGAAATATGTGCTGAGTTACCTGTAACCACTTAATTGGTGGAGTTGCTTAGCTGCAGGTGTGATGCTCAGAAAGGGTGACCCTACAACCTCCCAGCCCACTGGAGGGACATGGCTGGAACTCACCCACATGGAGGTGCAGGGCTCAGGGCTTCTGCTGAGAAGCTTGTGAGGTAGAGGCGCAGATGAGAAGAGAACCTGTGGAGCTGGTCCCAAGCCTGGGCCATGCTCGCCTGCAGAGGTGCTGCCTGGCCCAGCCAGGGCCCACTTCCCTGGTAGCACTGACCACGGCGGTGACCCGGCCTGACATAGAGACCATCTCTTGGTAGGTGAGTGTTTGGAGGGGCTTGGGTCTGTGGTGTCAAGTTTGGTGGGTAGATGCCCCCGAGGGGGTAGTTCTCTTCCAAGGGGGTGGGAAGTGGGAGGAGACAGCTCAAGTCTTGGAGACCCACAAGGAGGAGGGCCTACATCCCTTCCTGGGCCCATCTGGGGGCCAGGTGTGCTTGCGACTGAGGCCTGTGGTTCTCGGGCGGGGGAACATCGCTGGGGAGACAAGTCATTTTTGGTTATTGAGTGTTTGTGGATGAGTGGTGGGCAGCCTCCTCCTTCTTTGCTTGGAGACCATGGTCTTCTAGGGGACACAGCCATGGAGCTCAGGGCTGAAACTGTGTCCTTCTCCACAGGGCCCAAAGGGGCCAGTCTCAGTTGGGGAAGGCCCAGGATGTTCTCAGTGGACATGGAGCAGCTGCCAGCTGTCAAGTGCTCAGCTTCTGAGGCTGTGTGGCCTCTTGCGGCCTCATGGTCAGAGGTGGCATCTGGGGGCTGAGGGCTCTGAACAGGTGAGGGATCTGTCTGCAGCGCAGCCAGTGGGCCGGGCGGGGGTGCCTCCGAGGATGGCCGCGACAGCTCATCTTGGCTGTCCTCCTCGTCCTCATCCTCATCTTCATCCACATCTGAGTCTGAGTCCGTGTCCTCCAGGTCTGAAAACTGGTGCTCCTCCACAGCCTCGGAGCCCTCTCGCCCTTCAGAGTCCTGGAACAGGTCGTCACTGGTTCCTGGAGGGAGGTGCAGGAGACCAAAGGTCACATTCAGGCCCCAAAGCTGCTCCCCCTAAACCCGTTTCCTTATCTGCTAACCAGGCAAGGCTGTTATGGCAGTGGTGTGGGACTGTGAGTTGTGTGGGTGGCCAAGGACATACCTTTGGGAACACTTTGCAAAGAACAGTGGACAACTATCTCCAATCTGCCACATGCAAGTTCAGTTGTAAGGGTTTTAAGTATATTAATTAGTGTAGCTCTCAGAGAATCCTGGGAAGCTGGCTCTATTTTTGTCCTTGTGCTACCATGAGGAAACTGAGGGAAGAAAGATTAAGTAACCTGGCCAAGAAAGGGAGTAGTGGGGCGGGGCTGGGCTAGGGCAAGGCTGCTTCTCTTGTGAGCGTCCCGGTGCTGGACTCACTCGCAGCCTGTTATGCTGCTATGCTGTGTTCCAGTCTCCCCTTTCAGGCATGACAGTTGCCTCTTACAGGTTGGCTAGTAGGAGAAATGGCACAGAGCAAGGGCCTACATAATTACAGTCGCTATGAGTCCACTAATGATGGATCTATCATTATGGGGCACAGCACGGTGGCTGGGACAGCAGACAGAGTTGAGACCACTCTAAACACCCATCTGCCACTGTGACCAGGCTGCTGCCGATGGGCACAACAACATCTGCCAAGTGGCAGAGCCTGGCCTCTGTGGCTGGCTTGGCTAAGCTGGCTTTAAGCTATAGGGCTGGGCCCATCCATGCCATGTGTTACCCCCCGAGGAGCAGCTGCCCTTTTGAAGTTCATGCAGCTCCCAGTCGGGGAGAGCAACTCTAAAGTGGCAGTTTCCTGATCTGGCTCATTATGGGGCAGCTCCGATCAGCTGGGTCAAAGCTGAAATGGGCAGTGCTCTGGATGCTGGGGGGAGCTCTGCTAATGTGTGGTCCACCAGGCAGGCTCCTGAGAGTTAGGGGCTGGGTGAGCCACAGCTAGATTCCCATGACCTTATGTCTCTGGCTTGCAGAGGGAGGGCCAGTGGCAGGTGGGCTGTCATCAGCCAGCAGCCCCCTTGTTTGCTTATGCTAGAAGAACACCCACTGCCGACTAGGAAAGCCTGCCCAGCACCTGTCTCAGGCCTCAGGGCATCTAGACTTTGGGTCTCTATCATGCCCAGCTGCCCTGAGGCCACAAAGCCCACCATTACTGCTTCCCAACATGCAGCAGGAAGGTGCCCAGTGAGGACCAAAGTGGACATGCAGTAGAATGGAGGTGAGCTTCTGGGGGGTACAACTGGGGCTGGTAAGGCCACAAAGCCACAGTCAGGTTTCCTGGCAGCTGGGAGCACAGTGATAAGAGACTTACGGGAATGGGAGGTGAGGAGCAATGGGGAAGGGTGGCAACACTGTGCACTCTGCCTCCAGGTATTTCTTCCCTTTGTAGAACACTGGCGGGCATCTACGGCAGCCCCACCGCTCATTCACATAGGCATAGAGAAGGCAAAGGCATTCCCAGCGTCATCCAGCAAGCTCCTGGCTGGGTCAGAACTGAGGTTCACAGCTGGTGCATTAGGACACTGGCTGTTTAGAAATGACTTTGGCTTGTGAAGACACAGTAAGCAGTCTGGCTCTAAATCCGAGCTCCATTACTACCTCACTGTGTGACACTGGCCTACTACTCCCTCTGCTTCCTCATCTATAAAATGGGGACAGCAGTAAGCACATGCACCCTGTGAAGCTTTGCAAGGGTTGTAAGTGCGCAGCTATCATCAGCTCCAGCTTCGCCTCTCCCAGCTCCCAGGCAGGTCCCAGATGAAGGTCATAGGGCAGTGGGAGGGCAGGGGAAAGGAGGGCCAGCCCCTGCTGGACAGCGCCTCTTAGCCCTCCACATGGAGGTTCCTGCGGGCTTCTGAAGGATGGCCATGCCTGGCCAGCCCTTCCCGGCGCCCTCATGGGGCTACTACGCAGCTAGGCCGGGAGCGAGACCAATGTTCAGTAAGCCCCACCGGCTGCCAGCTCAGGGGCCTGGACCTGGCAGAGCAAGGACCACACACCCACATAAGCGCAGGGAGCCGCTAGGTGCAGTTGCCGAGATGTGCCACATGGTGGCGGTAGCGTTCAAACTCATCGCGGGGCGGGGCTCCCGCAGGACTAGGAAAGGGCAGTGTCCCGAACACACCAAGGCGCGAGGCTCCGCCCCAGGCTGGCTCTTGGCGGGAAGTGGCAACGCCATCCTTGCAGCGTCTGTCTATAGACCGCAGCGTCATATTAGCTCGTTTCTCGTTCCTCTCCGTTCTCTTCTACGTGACAACAAGAACTATGGGTCCTACCACAGAATGTACCTGGAATCTGATCGCTTCGCTTTTTTAGTGTTTTTAGTACATGTTTGCAGTTCACAGTGTTTACATTCCCAGTGTGGAGCTGGTGCAAGTGCGCAACAAGTCTCAATTCCTTTTCCCATCCCCTCTCCCCCTTCTCCACCTCTTAATCCCCTTCTTAAGGGAAAGGCCTATTTCCTACTTCCTGTTATCAATCTTTTATTTAGTTCCTGTCTATCATTCAGATTTCTCGTATAAGAGAAGTCATGGGATGTTGCAGTCCCCGCCCGCAGGCCAAGTCTGGTGGGCACTGCCTCCTCACCCTAGTATGGCCAAGCTTGCCCCTTGGCACTGCTACCTGGCTCCCCTGGCCTGGGTATCAGAGGGAGCCCTGTGGCCTGTGGGATGGGCAGCTGTTGGGCCCCTGGAGAAGAGCACTCTCCAGGCTCTAGGCCTGGCCTCTGGCTTCCTCTGGCTTCTGCTTCCTCCACCCTCACTCGGCCCCCTCACTCATCTCTAGCATCTGTTCCCTAGCATGGGCTCTACCCATGGCCTGTCTCCCCTTCTCGGAGGCAGGCTTTCCTTGGCCATTGGTGTCCGGGCAGGTACCCAGCCCAGCCCAGCACAGAGCTGCGCTGTAGACTGTGTTGGCACAAAAGTGGGTGCGGGAGCTTTGTTCAGCTGGCCCAGAAAGTGAAGCCAGAGGGAGGCAGGAGTCACTGCAGGAGGAAGCTCTAGCTGGGCTGCCTCTTGGCTTTGCCTGTCCCCAGGCTAGCGGGCATTTCTGTGTGACCATGGGCCACTATCTTTACACGTCTGAGCTTCTCTTTCCTCAACTTGAAATGGAGTAACACAAGTTTCTACCACTTGTTATGGGGACCCACGAGACAAGCTCTGTAAGCACCCTGGGGCTATGCCCTGCATTTATTGTGGGGAGGAGCTACCCCACTTGCTGCACTCTGTTCCCTAAAAGTTATTTACTCCATCTAAAACAAAACATGATTTAACTCCTTTGTAAGACCCCACAAAGGAGTAAGCCTTGGTCTGGTCTCCGAGCATCTGTACACAAAGGTTTGCGTCTGCAGGAGAGACTGACTGTCCACGTCTACCTCTGTCCCCCTGCCACATTCCCGCTGGACTCCTGCTTGGGTGCTGCCAGCTGGACCCACTGCTTTTACCTGTCCCCCGTCTTCCACAAAACCCACTTTAACATACCTCTTGTTGCTGGAGGAAGAGGGCCGGGGTGAGGGTTGGATGGCTGGGGGGTTGCAGGCTGGGGTGAGGGGTAGATGTGTGGGGGGTCACAGGCTGCTGGATCTGGCTTTGACTTTCTTGAAGCCTCCCGGTGCCAGGGGGCCCATGAGGTAGGCCCCTGGGAGAGCGGGCATGAGTGGGTGTGGAGATTTTAGTAAGAACCCTCCGAGAGTCAAGGGAGTGTCTGCTGGCCGTCAGGGCAGGAACTGTGAATGTGCCTGGCACGGTCTGGGTGTGCAGTGTTGTCTGTAATTACTCATGCTCACTTATTCAGCAAGCGCTCCCTGAGTACCTGCAGGTGCCAGGACTCCACCTGCACAGGCAGAGCTGTCCCCTCAGCTCTGGCTGCCAGACAGTGGGGGAGGTGGGGTGGTCCTTCTGTGACTTCAAACTTTGTGTCCAGTGGTTGGAGCCACTGGAGGGGAGGGCGTGGGACACAGGGAGGGGAACAGAGCCAGGAGCACAGGGGATGGCAAGGCAGGGGGCAGGTTAGGGCAAAGGGGGGAGGACGATGGAGGCAGCAGGAGGCTACAGTTCCTTACCTTCCTCGGCTTCCAGCTCCTCCAGCACCCCTGTCTCTTGGCACTTTTTGCTGTGGGCTTTCGACTTCATGTGCTTAGTCAGATTCCCTAGAAAGGAACAAGAACAGACTCAGGTGCTGCTATCAGGCAGGGGCCAGGGAAGGCCTGCGGCTCTTGGAGGCAGCTTCTGGCTGATAGTCCATAGCTTCTTAGAGTCACCGAGGCCCTGCCAGATGGAGGGGCTTGGCAGGCACCAAGGCAGCCCCCTGCCCTAGGACTCAGGCCAAGATGTGCAGTGGAGCTGGGGGTGGGGGAGGTATGGGGCTGTGAGGGTCAGGGAGCACAATGAAGAAGTGAGATGCTGGTTAAAACCAAACAAAAGAGAAATTAAAAGACTACCCAAGTACAATTGGTTCTGCCTGTTTGTGATTTAAGTCAGGCCCCAAGGTGGTGACATGCCTCAAAGGTTATTGGCTATCTCAAAGGTGGGGTGACAGTGGGACTGCCCAGACTGACAGGGCAGAAGGGATTGAACATCTCCCTCTGGCTGAAGGTCTCTATGGAGCCCACAGGGCAGAGCCTGAGGATCTGGGAAGAAGAATCAGGAAGGACAAAGCTATTCTTGGGACTGGCTAAAGGACAGGAGGTGAGAGTGGGGAAGTCGTCTGGCCAGAAACCTGGGACTTGTAAGACTGAGGCCTACGCCTAGTTTCCTTAGAAAAGTCCTGTTCCATGGCCTCAGTTTCCCCAGCTAACAGGAAGTGCAGACTCAGACTGCATAATTTGGAAGGTCAGGTGAGGCTCTACCCTGTCCTGTGCCTACAAAGCCCTGAGGAGAGGCTGGCTGTGCTGAGTTAGGTCCAGCCCCTGGGCTGGAAGCAGGGGCTGCCATGAGCTCTGGGATTAGGCCATGGGAACAACTACTTCCATTTCCCTACTTGCATAGCATTTCACAAGCCACAGAGCTCTGTAAACAGCAGTATTGCAAACACAGAGACCGAGAGCCCCCAGCCTGCCCTGGGAAGACAGAGGCCAGAGGCCTTTGGATGCTCCTCTGGGCTCACCTCCCAAACTATGTTCTGAGGGCTGTTATGTTTCCTTGTGGTTGATTGCACAGAAAATCCTATGCTCCCTGGAGTGCTCGGTCTCACACATTTCATTAATCAGTATGTTTGAATGAATGAAAAGAGGTAAGGCTCTGGAACAAAAGCACAGGCAGAACAGACAGAAAAGTGGAGAGAAAAAACATGGACAGAAAGAATGGGAAGTGAACAGACTGGCAGACGGGTCACTGGGTGAGTGGATAAGAGATGACTGAGAGTATATGGGGAAAATAGATGGAAGGGTGGATGGAAAAATGAACCAGTAGATGCGGGAGGAGAGTGAGTTGGATGCATGTGAGTGTGGACAGCTCTGTGGTCGGATACACAAATGGCTACGTGGGAGACCAGAGCAGAGGATAAAGAACAGGAAGGTGCGGGCAGGATGGATGAGAGGGAGGACACGTGGCGGAGGAGAAAGCCAGAGGTCCAGGGAATTAACAGGTCGGTGTGCGCACACAGTGGGAGGAGAGATGGGTAGATGAGTAAACAGAAGTGCCTGGGAGTGAACCAAAGCATGCTTGTTCATCTTTCAGAGAAGCTGGGGGTCTTGTGGAAAAGTTGAAGGGGGCCATTAAGCTAGGATGGCCTGGGCTGCGTGAATTCAGGGTAGTGGGAGAGGACAGGAGCCATCTCCTTTCCTGCTTCCCACTCCCACCCCACCCCCTCCTGGTCCACACTTTGTACTTCCCAGCTTGGTTCTCCTATGTAACTAGACACAAACCCAGCCGTCCTCACCCTGGCCATAGAGGGAGCAAAGGTGGAGTCATCTGGTGGCCAGACAGTCCCCAAAGGCCAGCATTGTAGATCCACCCTCACTGTCATGAGCAGGCAGAGCCTGAGCAGGATGGCTGGGAGGTAGGAAGCAGTGAGGGTTTTCCACAGGTCAGGGAGAACAACCTGAGGGTCTGCGGCCGACCTTCCTCCCTGCTTCCCTGAGGCCATGAGACCAAGGACTCTGTTCATTCTGGTGGTCACATCCTTTAGGCACAAATGCATCCCATGCTAGGTATAGGCTGCCAACAACACAGCGCACACCATGAGTGTGGGGCAGCCTGTGGGGACTCACCATCACAGACGCAGGGTGCTGGGAGGGGCCCCACAGGCCCCGTGATGCTGTTCCCACCAGGCTGGGACTGGTCCCCATGCTGTTGATCTAACTCTGGGCCCAAGTGCTGACAGGGCCAGTAGACAAGACCACTGGCTGTCCTACTGGCTGGATTCCTGGTAACCAACAGTGAGCCAAATGGCCAGAGTCACAGTGCTAGCTGTGCAGAGCCCAGCCAACCCTGTCTTAGCATGCTGGGGCCTCGTTTGCCCCACACAGGGAGAACATGGAACCAGGAGGGCTTGGGAGCCTGGAAGGCTTGGACTCTGAACCGCTAGCTGTGCTACCTCCTGGGGATGCTGGCAGAATAACAGTCATAGTGCATGGGGCAGCAGCACATGCCAGAGCAGAGCCCTAGCCCCGGCTATAACACTCAGTGTACCGAGCACCCGGGGACCCAGCCACTCACTGTGCTGGATATGGAGGAGAGACATGCTCATGATGAAATGTTACCATCTTTCAGTTGGAGCCCCGGGAGCTTTGAGAAGGCCAGGGAGTCCCAACCCCAAAGGCTGGCCTCTCCTCTGCCACCATCCCCAGGCGTGGCTGGGAGGAGGCATGAGTCTGTGGGGGTCTTGCAGATTACAGGAGCAGACCCTGGATGAGCAGCCCCGAGTGTCCTCCCATTTCCCCCGTGACTGCCCTTCTCTGGGCCTGGCTGTGAACAAGGAGAGTTTTAAAACTGCTGCAGGCACACCCTGGGTATCATTTCTGCTGAGGGGCAGGCCCTTGTTGCAGAGGACTCTGTCAAGAAGCGGAGTCCACAGCGTCTCACAGTCAACCCAATCCACCCAAAGCCTGGTAGCCCGGGTAGAGAGAAGGCCAACAGACTGAAAGAGGGGAGTGTCTGACAAAGGGATGAAATGCCACTGGGGTCAACAGCCAGTGACCCTGTTTGCCTCCTGCAGCTTTGAGCTACAGCTCTGGCCCCTCCAGTGGGCCTGATAGACACTCGCCCATAGCTGCCATCTCTGTCCCCTGAAGCAATCGGCGCAAGGGCCTGTATATGGCACAGCCACCCCGCAGACCTCTGGGAATCATCTGAGAAGAGGAAATAAGGTCCCAACCTCCACAGGATCAGCCCACAGGCCTCTCCTGGCTCCACCTACCGAGACACCCCTCAGTTGGCACCCAGAGGCCTGAGCTGCCACCCTGACATCTGACACAGAGACAAGACACAGACAGGCAGACAGAGACAGACAGGAAGGGCTCGTTGGCCCAGGCGCTGCCAGGCAGTGGTGGCAGGGGCCCCAAGGCCTGCCTGGCACAGCTCTTCCCTCATGCTGCCTGATGTGGGCTGTAGCTCAGAGGTCAGGGGGCAGAGAGGGGAATGTGGCCAGACAGTCCTGGGGAAAGGGTGGCCTGTGTTGTCAGAGAGGTGGCACCTCAGAGACAGGGCCCTGGGGAGGGCCTGGAGCCCCAGCATTCTTCCCAGGAGGCACTGCTTTCTGCATCCACTGGCCACCCTCATAGCTCCCAGGTGCCCCCTCTCCGCCCCATGCAGTTTCACTCTAGCTTTGGCCAGGATGGAGGAAGAGCTCTGCATATGCCTAGCTACTGGCAGAGAGCAGAGGCTGGTCTGGGGCACCATGCACCAGGATAGGCCACCTCCCTGCGGATACCAAAGGTCTGCAGGCCTCTGCTTAGATTCTGCACTCTGGTCTCCCCCCAGATCTGTGGTAGCTCAGAGAGGCTTGGAAGGGATTATGGCTGGGTGGGGCATGGCTTCTGTGAAGGCATCTCCTGGGAACTGGGGGTCCGAAGAGGACCTCAGACATCTTTTAGATTTGGCAGAATTTTCAAGGCACAAGGATTGAGTAAGGCCTGTGGGACCTCAGTGGGAATGGGTCTCTCCTATCTCAGTGGCAGAGGTAGCAGCTCCCTGGGGACGGTACGCTGGCTGCAGAATGCTGTGTACAAGGTTCCCTCAGGGACCCTCAGCCTAAGGTAGGACGGCATCCCTGGACACATGCTGGGAATGGGGCAGTACCTGGACCCGTCGCAGGGGCACCTGAGTACAGCTCTTGCCACCTCCTCCAGGGAAGGGAGGACTGCTCACAGCGAGGAGGGTGAGGGTGTGGCAGCCTGTGTCAGGGGCTCTGGGAGGCACACTCACTTCTGGTTCGTAAGACACACTTTATTCACCTTCAAGGGCATCTGGACAAGAAGTTCCACCTTAGAGTTGAAGACTGCTATTGAAGTTACCATCCAGTTATTACCATCTCTGTCTTCCACAGAACCCTCACTGGCTGCTTAAGGCCAGAGGAAGTAGAACTGGGCAGGGGGATGCCTAGGGGACAGAGCCAAAGCTGCTGAGCTGAGCTGTTGTGGGCTCAGCCAGTCACCAGGGACAGATGCCTTTGACGCACTGTGCGGCAATGTGGGGCTTCAAGCCTCTCTGTCTAATCTCGGCGCCCTTTGGGACATGTCTCTGAGACCCTAAGAGAGAAGAGGATCAGGGAGAGGAAAAGAAAGGGTGTGGCATCTCCACCCAACTTGAACCCTTGGTGCAAACATTGGAGTTTGGTTCAAAGATGATGGGGAGAAGGCAGAGGAGGGCAGGAGCCAGCTAATAGGCTCAGCGGACCAGAAACAGGAACTTGGCCGGAGAAGAGGTCACTGAACCAGGCGATGCGATCAACTAGTCCCTGACCTACCCCAGAAAGAACAGAAGTGAGAAGACTGAGGAAGGAAGGGGGTCGGAGCTCTACTTAACAGTGGCTGCTGAGATTCTGACTGGGAGGATCTTTACCAACAGAAGAAATGACAAGTGCAAAGCCCAAGTATCCCCTCGAGTCTTTTCACAAAGAAATCATGTGTTTCCTTTGGGGCCATCATAGAGGCCTCAGCTTGCTCAGAAAAAGGCAGGAAGGATGATGGTGTCAAGCCCTGAGCCAGGAATCCACAGAGCACAAGAGGCTGATACTGCCAGGGGGTGGGGTCTTGGCTTTCTTCCAAGTCTCCCTCCTCTCCTCAGCTCCCACACACTGGAAGCAAGCCGGGGAGGTGGTGGTCGGGGGGTGCCCCTGCAGGGACACAGCTCCATCGGAGGAGCCCGTAGGCCTGGCTCAGCAGACCAGCCCCATCCCGCTAGGAACTGCAGCAGGCCACTGCATTGCCCATCTCAGCCTTCTGGGACACATGCCATCAATAGCCAGTCCTTTCTCTTATAGGTAAACACCAGCGCCTGCCCTGATTCTGATGTGGGGCATGGCTGGAGGCAAGAATGACCCGCAGCTGCTGCAGGGGCTCAGTGGAGTGGTGAAGAGGGGTGGAGTAGGAGTGAGCTCTGGCACAGGACAGGAGCATGCAAGTGTGCTGAGTGGCTCAGGGTGGAATGGATTCCAAATGCGAGAGTGCAGTGACTGTGTGGATCTTGGAAGCTGTCAGATCAGTGGATAAAAGGCTAAGCAGACATGGGAAAGGAAGGGTGATGAGGTAGATAGAAACCAGGAACTGTGGGTGAGACATAGCCTGGCAGGGGTGAGGCAGGGAAGTGCGGGTGGGGAGGGCTGTGCGCAGGCTCCGGGAGCACCAGCGGGGGCCAACATGTGTCTCCACTTGGCCTGGAACTGGCTGCTCTGCCATGGCACCAAGTGGGACGGGAACGCAGGAAGTGGGGTGCTCCGGGCCCAGACAGAGAGGTCTGTGCTGGGTTCCTAGTGGGGCACTCCCTGCAGTGGACAGGGCAGTGCTGTGCCCCAGCTGACTGTCTCTTACCTTTGGTTTTAAAAGCAAAGTGACAGTGCTTGCACACATAGGGCCGGACGTCAGTGTGGGTGCGGATGTGTTTCTTCAGCATGCTGGGCTTCTTGCAGCGAATTCCACACTCCTCACAAACATATTTCCCTCGGCCGCGGCCTCGCACATATACATACTCTTCGTTTGATTTGTACCTGTGAGCAACAGGTGTCATGTAAAGGAAAAACAAGGAGAAGAGGTAGCTTCCCACCTCAGAAGATGCACGCGCTTCCTAGCTGTGCCAGCCAGGCCGAACGCGGAACCAGAGGACCCTGGGCTAATGGGGAGCCAGCTGCCTTGGGGATCCATGTGGACCCCTGCACTCCTGCCTCTCACAAGGACAGGGAGGCTGCACCTTCCATTCTACCCCAAGCCCGAGGCACTAGTGCTTCCTGCAAGGGGAAGCGAGGCCACAGGCTCCCAGACTGCCTTTGCTCAACCAGCCTCAGGAACGGCTCTGCCATGAGGAACAGCTGCTGTCAGCCTCCAGAGTAACAGTTTGGAAAAACTTTATGAAATAACAGTAGCCACAGCTCTCGCAGCTGCTAAGCACTCCGTCTGCTAGGCACATCACTTAATAAATCACTATCACCTCGCGAAGAAGATCCTGAGGCCCCAAGGGCTAGAGCGGGGAGAAAAGCACCCAAGATTGTACAGTCAGAAAGGTACAGAACCTGATCTGAACTTGCCACCTCCAGCCTGTCCAGCATCCATGGGGGCCAATAACAGTCAGATAGAAAGCCACGGACCCTGACGCAAGGAAGGCGCTGGGGACCACAGCTGCTCCTCTGGCCTCCAGCCTGGGATCAGACACCCTGCACTCTCCCTCACCCCATCTCAGTCATACTAAAGCTCTGCAGGACCCAGGTTCCTGGTTAGATCAGGAAGCCCACAGGTTCTCAGGAGCCTCCTGTGTGGCCAGGCCCCGCAGATCTCAGGCCATTAACGCCAGGCCCCCAAATCATAACACTCTTATTTCTACAGAGAAGGAAGCCCTGAGCCCCTCCGCACGCATGGAGGGTCAGCTGCCACCACCTTGCTGATCTAATGCTATGGTGTGGGAGTCCACAGGAGGGTGGGTGAGTCTGGTGGGCCTCCAGGGAGGGAGCATGGCAGATGCTGTGAGAAAGCCTTCTGACCCTCAAGTCCTGGGGCAGTGTGGTGCTCTGGAGAGGATGTGGGCCTTTCCACAGCCCCTGCCCAGCAGGAGCTGCCCTGTTCCCAGCATCCTGGAGAGGGTCGGGCAGTGGCCCAGAGGAGGAGACAACCATGAGGACTCCATTCTGGTCCATGGGTCCTTCCTGTCAGGGCTGTAGGCTGTCACAAGGACGGGCTTGAAAGAGGGGCTGGGGGGCACAGGCAGCACCAGAGGGATCACCCATCCCTGTTCTCACTCCTCAATCACACACGGCACACACGCATAGTCCCCTGCAATCATAGCCTCACACCCCGCATCCCAGACTGTGTGCCTTCATGTGCACTCAACACCACTTCCCACGCTCTGGCTCACATGTCACCCGCTCCACCCCCATATCACACTCACATGCCCACACCCCTGCTCATGCCCACACACTCTTACAGTGTGCCCATGCTCCTGCCTCACACGATCTCACAGACACCCATATGTGAATCCTTGTCCATGAGCATGCACAGACCCCGCTTTTGGGGCATCTCAACATTGGCCAACTAATATCTCCAAGAGGTGAAACAGCCCTTTCTACCCCTCCACAGACGCTGACCTCCCATCAGCCAGGCCTCAGTTGTGGGGTCAACTTTTCACTGCTCTCGGCAAGCACCATCTTGTTCAAGGGTGGAAGCTATGGGCCTTGGGAGGGTGTGGGGAGATGATTCCCTTTTGCTCCTAGGAAGAGCATTTTCTGGCCCAGCACCAGAAGCCAGCTGCTAACCGGCAGAGGCTCAAGTTTATGCAGGAGGCCTCTTGGCACAAAGCAGCTGCCTGCACCTGATTAACTCCCAGTACTCTGTATTGCGGGACTCAGTTTTCAGAGGAAGCAACTGAGGTGGGGCTCCTTTTCCCAGCTAGAGGAAGACAGCATGACCTCAGCTGGCCCTGGAGGCCCATGTGGTACCAGTCTCCACTTGGTCCTGCTTAGTGGTCCACAGCACTGGCTCTTCCCCACACCAGGCGCAAGGTGTCCCTTGTCATCAGCTTCCCCCTCCCCCTGCTGCTCCCCCAGCTCCACAGCATTCAAAGTATTTTGTCATTGTAACTGAAAGCTGATTAGCACACCACAGATCCCAAGGCCCACAAGGTCCGCGTGAGAGCATGCGGGTCTGTACAGATGCTTTCTGACAGCACTGATCAAGACCTTCCCTCTCTGGGCTGGCCAGATAGCTCAGCAGATTAAAGTGACTGCTTAGGCAGACGTGGTGCCAGATGTTCGATCCCCAGTGAGGGTCCCCACCCCTGGGCCACACTGAGATGGTGACTGAGACTGGGCATAGTGCCTGCAATCCCATGGCTTGGGAGGTTGAAAAACAGGAGGATTCCATGAGTCTGATCCGTGTAGTGAGACCCTGTACTAAATACATTAAAAAAAGAAAAAAAAAAAAAAAAAAAGAAAGACATTTCCTCTCTGACACTCCAAGGCCAGCAAGAGTGGCATTGCTTTCCATGCAGCCACCCCTGGAGGGCCAGCTAAGGTTGACTGGAAGCCTTGGTGTGGACAGAGGCACAGAAATACTCTAGAAAGGTCCAGGGCAGGAAAACCTGCATGTGGGGCCTCGGGGGACACAGCTGCCTCCTGAGCTTGTGGGCTGCTCCCTGATGCTCCGCCCCAGGCTGTGTCTTACAGGCCTGAGTCAGAGGCTGGCTGCCCTCCACTCCCGGGAGACACGTTGCTGACACATGCCTCTTCCACAGCTCTGAAACAGTCCATCGTTGACAGGTCTGGTGTGGCCATCTGGCTGCTCCCAGGATAAGGAGCAGCCTTCCTTCCTGCCTGTCTTCTGTGGCCCTGACAAGCCAGCAATACTTGTATATGGCCTTGATATTTATTTTATTTATTAACTTATTTATTTAGTACAGGTCTTGATATGCAGCTGGGACTCATAGTGATTCTCTTGTTTTTCGTCTTCCCAGTGCTGTGATTACAGGCATGCGCCACCATGCCCTGTTTCAGTGGTCAGCATATGGGGGTCTGTCCATGAGCTCAGCTGTTTCAGTGCCTGCTTAAACAAAGCAGTCAGGCTCAAGATGCTCTGGTTTGAGCCCAGTTTCTCACAGAAAACCAGAAATGCCCTCAAGGCATCTTCAGGCCGTCAAAAAAATAATAATAATTCAGTGGCCAGCATGGCGCACCCGATGTTCCGGGGCCACAGGGTACGCGGGACCGGGGATCAAACCTGAACCCTTGCACTTGCCAGGCAGGTGCTTATGGCCTTGGTCTTAAAGAACTGATTCTGTGGCTTTTGGATGCCTTTGTGGGAGGGACCTGGGGGTACCTTGAGATGGGAGGTTCAGAGCTGGGGGTTACCTAGGGCCCTGTAGCAGGGGCTCCCATGGCAGGGCTCGGGCCTCCTGCCCCAACTGACAGTGCTGCGAGTCCCGGCACTCTACTTGGAAGCAGCTTTCTGCCCTGCTGCCTGGAATTCCAAGAGCATGGGATGGCCAGGAGGGGTGCGGAGCTGCCAGCTCCTCGTGGATGCCTCCGTGCCTATCCTCCTGAGGCAGAGCCAAGACCCACAGACTCCAGCGAGACAAAAAGCTTCCCTAACAGCCTTGGAAAGGAGGCTCTGTCACCTGCATGTAATCAAGACGGAGAGAGGCCGAGGCTGAGCGCCTTGCCTAAAGTGCGGGGCAGTGAGACCTGTGAAGCAGCAAGAAGGGCTGTAACATGTGACGGGGGTCATCTCCTGCTCGAGGCGCTGGCAGCGAGCTGTTTGCCTGGACAATAGCCGTGGCACTGCAGGCTGTGGAGTCAGGGTCTTTGGAGGCATTTCTAAGGCCCACAGCTTCCAGGGAGCGGATGGAAGCTTGGCACAGAGCCAGACGGCGGTGGCATGTCCTCCTGCGCCCGCTTCCAGGAGAGGGGCTGTGGTGAGCACGAAAGCATTCCAGGGAAGGCGGCGTGAAGCGGCGGCGGCTGGGCTCCAAAGAGGTCAGAGACTCAGCAGCAAAGCTGCTCTGTCAGGCCCTGGGTCTCACGAAACGTTCTCAGAGCAGCCTGCGACCACATGGAGGGCAGGGCACCAGAGGGGGCGGGGCTGGCGCATGACCGGGCGGGGCGTAGCAGGGCGACGCAGGGAGGCTGGGTGGTGGTGACCCACAGGCAGGCCTGTTCCTGCCCCAAGGGTTCAGGGCTCGCTCCTGGTGTACTCCTGGTATAGCATGAGGTTATCACATCTTCCAGGTTTTTCGAGAAAACCACAAGCCCAGATTTAAAACAAAACAAAACAAAACAAAACAAAAAACCCTAAAAATCTGAGTACTGATTAGCAAATTCTTTTATAGTTCTTCCTGGGTGCCAAGCACTATTTTCAGGGCTTGCTACATTACTGCATCTAAATCACACGACAGCCCTACGAGATAGGGACGCTACTCATTCCATTTACACAGGAGAAGAGTCTCAGAGAGGTTAAGTACCCTCCCTGAAGTCATGCAGCCATTTAACCAGTGGTACCAGACCCCAGTCCCAGGTTATGGTGCTACAAGTTCAAATGCTTAACTGCTGTGCAATTCTATTAAAAAACAAAGCAAAACAAAACAAAAAATAGTTTAAAATACCTAGAGAGGTACAGCCAGTCTGAAGCTAAGCTTCTGGCTCAAAGTAATGTCTTCAAGGTCATATGGCTAATAGATAAAGGTATGTCTGACCTTCAAAGCTATGACTTTTCTCTGCATTAAGCTGCATTTCCTCTTAAATGAGGGAATGAACTCCATGGCCTCCACATTACCTTCCTACCCCGAGAGTCCACGAGGCTGCTCTGTTTCTATTACTGACTTTTCCATTTATTATTAACATTTAATCATAAAACACTCATTTCTCCTCCAAATTTAGATATTTTAAAGGCTGCCAATTCCTGATTTTATTATATTCTTGTTGCTAAATACCTCCCCCCCAATCAGGGATGTGGAATGTGGGTATAATCACGCAATATGAGAGAAAGACAGGCTAGAAATGGACATACTGTC